GGCAGAAGCTCAGGAGAACTCGTCCAGACATGTCTAAAAAAATTCGAGAAGAAGTCCTTAAACAATTTGATGCAGGGTTCTTAGAGGTGGTAGATTTTCCACCTTGAATAGCTAACATTGTTCCAATACCCAAAAAGGATGGCAAAGTACGTATAAGTGTAGATTATCGGGATCTAAATAAAGCAAGTCCTAAAGATGATTTCCCGCTACCTCACATAGATGTTTTGGTGGATAATTTAGCTCAAAATTTGGTATTCCAATTCATTGATGGTTTCTCAGGCTATAATCAAATAAAAATGGCACCCGAAGATATGGAAAAGACTACCTTTATGACACCTTTAGGCACTTTCTTCTACAAAGTAATTTCGTTCGGTCTAAAGAACGCAGGGGCAACCTATTAGCGGGCAATGGTCACACTATTCTATGATATGATTCACAAAGAAGTTGAGGTTTATGTAGATGATATGATTTCCAAATCTCATACGGAGGAGGATCACATCATACATTTACAAAAATTATTCGATCATATGCGGAAGTTCAAACTAAGGTTGAATCCAAACAATTGTACATTTGGTGTCAGATCAGGCAAGTTACTGGGTTTTATCGTAAGTCAGCATGGTATTGAGGTAGACCCCAACAAAGTAAAATCCATACAAGAAATTCCAGCTCCAAAGACAGAGAAAGAGGTTTGTGGTTTCTTAGGACGATTGAATTATATTTCAAGGTTCATATCGCACCTAACTGCTACGTTCGAGCCCATATTCAAATTTCTAGATAACTTTTGAGACAATAAAGAAATATTTACAAGAGCCACTAACTTTAATGCCACTAGTTCCTGGAAGACCACTCATCATGTATCTAACGGTACTTGAATGATCAATGGGATGTGTATTGGGCCAACAGGACAAAACGAGTAGAAAAGATCACGTGATCTACTATCTCAGCAAGAAATTCACTGACTGGGAAACCAGGTACTCACTCCTCGAGAAAACTTGTTGTGCATTGGCTTGGGCTACTAAAATATTGAGGCAATACATGTTAACTCATACCACATGGTTAATAGCAAGGATAGACCCTGTAAAGTATGTATTCAAAAAACTGGCCCTTACAAGAAGGATTTCCCGATGGCAGATGTTACTATCGGAGTATGACATAAAATATGTAAATCAAAAGGCCATCAAGGATAGTGTACTAGCAGATCACCTAGCTCATGAACCTTTGCTAGAATATCAACCAATGAAGTTCGACTTTCCAGACGAAGATGTCATGGTTATAGGTGACTACGAAATACTAGGGCCCAACGAAGGACCAGAACCAGGGGCACGTTGGACACTCATGTTTGATGGAGCTTCAAATGCACTATGGCATGGTATCGAGGCAGTTTTGACTTCTCCGAAGAATTATCACAAACCTTACACTGCAAGGTTATGTTTTGACTGCACCAACAATGTCTTCGAATATGAAGCTTGTATCCTGGGTCTGGAAGCTTCCATTGATCTAAGAATAAAATATCTCTAAGTATTTGGAGACTCTACGCTAGTCAAATACCAAGTCAAAGGAGAATAGGACATTAAACATCCCAAATTGATCCCATATTGGGATCATGTTTTAAAGCTAGCTACGAAATTCACCGAGATTACCTTCAGTCATATCTCACGAGAAGAAAATCATATGGCAGACGCCTTGGTAACCCTTTAGGCCACGTTCAAGGTAACTTGGCCTAACCACGAGCCGTGCATTACAATTAGACATTTTGAAGAGCCTGCACATTACCTCGCTATTGAAGAAGGACCAGATAACAAGCCTTGTTTCTATGACATCAAGAGGTACCTCGAAAAATAAGAATATCCAGAAAATGCTTCTATCATTGAGTGTTATACAAAAGAAACTATGATACGGTGCTACTCAAGTGTATGGATAAACAAGAAGAATATACTCTTATGAGAAAAATCCATGAAGGTACTTTTGGAACCCATACAAACGGGCATGTTATGGCAAGAAAAATCCTACGAGCGAGTTACTATTGGTTAACGATGGAAGCCGATTGCTATCTGTGATGCGGTGGGAGAACTGACTTGAGGTTTTGCGTTTGTGTTCGTAAATGTCGCGGTTAGCAAGAGTCGCCACTAACTTTTATTTTATCCAAAAGGAAAGGTGAAAAAGCACAGGAAAGACCTTTGAGATGTTTTCTTGAGTTCGAAGGGTAGATTATGAAAAGGGAAGGTGCTAGCACCCTTTTCATCCATGGTTTTCCATGGGCTCTTAGTTACTTGTTTAGATCACTTGCTTTGCTTTGTTTTGTTTGAAATGGTGCTTGGTGTGGTTTTGAAAGTATTTTGAAAAGAGGCCATTCGTTTAGGCAATCTTTGTAATGATTCTCGTTCGTAAGAATGTATACAAAGATGTTTGTCTTTTGAAAAATGTTTCAATGTTTTGTAAAATGTTTTGAAATGTGTGTGTGTTTGTTTTTGAAAATATCAAGGATTATTTTGAAATGGGACAAGTAACTAGAAGCTATCTACCTACTCAAATGTCTTTCTTGTGCATTTTTATTCCTTTGACATTGTTGATTTACCATTGATTTGGTAAACAACCCTATCTTTGGATGTAAACGGGACGGGCGTGGGTCATCGTATGACCATGATAGAAATTTTGCCAAGTATCATAGCAATTTTTAGGGACCAAGATCATATTTGTTTACGCAACCTTTTGCTAGCGTCATCGAGGGACTATGATCTTATGTTTGTTTTGTTTTGCCAAGATACTTCGCGTGCGTAACATGGCCATTTTTATTTAGGCAACCAAGTGTGAGAAACCCTAAGGGTGCTTGTGTGCAATGTGTGTCATTTTCATGCCTTTATCTTGTATTAGGGTTTTTTCTATTTGTTTTATTTTGTTCTTGTTGAAACAACCGGCTGAAAATCATCAAACAATAAAGACGCCATCGAACGTCTTTTATCCCATATGTAGGGAAAGGTAAACATCGAGAAAACTTGAAAAGGGAGATGTCACGGTCTTGCGACCGAGTGATCGGGTAAGGGAGTCTGTTACGCGAGGGGAAGGTATTAGCACCCTACACGCCCGTATTACTCTATGGTATCCACTCTTGTTATTTATCTTATGGGTGTGTTTAATCTATGCTTACTGTTTATTACTGCTAAAGGGAGAATATATACAAAAGAAAAGAGAAAAGAATGTAGGGAAAATAAAATTATGCTCACTTGGGCCCTACCCCAATGCATATGTATCCGTTTTGAGGAATCAGAGCTACCGTAGTTCGGCTCATATGTTTTTGTTTGTTTTTGTTTTTTATGGACGAAGTTAATTCCGCCTTCTGCCGCAGCTCGACCTTTGGAGACTTATGCGTTGGCACAGAAGTAAATTAATCATGTCCTTACCTGAAAAGGGTTTTAAAGAAAAGTGCTCGAGCGCACAAATGGTTTGAATTGGTTTATATTTTTGTTGCAGATAATGACTAGTCGACCTCAAGAGAGAGATATTAGCCACTTTTCTACTTAGTTATGAGAGGAGTCTTTGAGAATTGAACCACACCTAAGCTTGATATGAAGAACAATAATACCGAGAAGAGACCCGCGTATCATTTCTTATACTAAGCAAAGGCATGATTCTCATCGGTAGTTTTAAAGTGTTTTGAATTTTGAAAGAAAAAAGAAGTTTTTGTTTTAAATGCATATGCAAAAGGAGAAAGAAAAGTCAAAGGGGGACTAGCCTATTTCTAAACCTAATTTTATCGTGCATTAGTAGCCCTAATTTAAGGATGAACAAAAGGGAAACATCTGCCTAATGTTAGCATGCATATGGTTTGCGATAAAGTACAGAAATGAAGAATAAAATAGAGTTGCAGTGATACCGAATGGAGGAGGTCCGTTACCTCTTTAAAGCCACGCAAGCGATAAGAAAACTCTACAGAAACTGCTCCGCGCGAGTGATCAAAGAATTAGTCTCCAAGCATTCCATATTGCAAAAATTGCGTCATTACCATCACGAAATCTTGACTAAAATGATAATGAAAATGAATACCAAATAAAAATAAGATAGTGAAAAACTCTAATTGAAATTCTAAAATGAAATTCTAAAGAGCTCAAAAATATTCTATTATTTTGTATTATTCCATCGCCAATTAATCAACAATTAATAGGAAAAAAACTTAAACCAAATTTTTAAATGAGAGATGAAGTCAGGGGGTATAGTGTTGAAATATGGGAATGTGGCTTAGTAAGGGCGCTAGGCCCAAGTAGTGAGTCCAACAAAACCTTATTTTTGTTCAAGCTGCAACAAAAATAATAACAATGGGCCCAGAAAACGGTTTGGCCTAATGTCCATTGGCAACAGTCCATAGCTTATTCTTTATTCTTCTTCATTTTACTAGAAATAAATGATAATAAAAAAAACAAAAGAAAAAGAAAATTGGAAAGGGGAACGTGATATTAGGGTTTAAACGAATTATCTTCTTCGTTCGTCAGTGCCGCTGTGCAAGACCCCCTCCGTTGTCTTCTTCTTCTTCGATCCGGATCACTCTTCTTCGTCTCGGCTCAACCTTCTTCACTGGTTCCAACCTCTCGCGACTATGGCATCCCCTTATCAGTGGCCGCCTTTCATCTATTTCATTTCTCTTCATGCCTAGCTTTCGTCATCTCTTCCCAATCGGTACTACGGGATTCAGCCTCTTCTCAATGATTCTGTCGTCGAGTATACGCACACCATCACATTTTCCCTCTACCAGAGACAAGTCTTCATGAGTCAAGCCTTCGAGAGATCCAGAAGAGAACTCCGGTATACACTTCTTTCTTCAAGCTTTGATTCTCCCTAGTCCTCCTGATTTTTCTTCTTGTTTCTGCGTTGTGATACTGTTCTTTTTTTCTTCTGAGTTTCTGCATTTTTGCGTCGTTGTTTGAAGTTACGGCTGCGCAGTAATGTCGTTGTTGTTGCTTGTTTGCAGTGAGGAAAATTGAAGATGTGAAGTTGTTTTTGTACAAGAGATGTTGAATGATGTTAGTTACAGGAAATTGAAGCGACGAGGCTTGAAGAACCATGAGGAAATTGTAGAAGATGATGAAGAATCGATGAAGCGGTATATGATAATTATGCAATTTCCGAGAGAATTCAGAGTTGAGTTTTCTGATTTCTGGTGATTCCTCAAGATGAAGCACGATGAGGATACAGATGAGAGGAGGAGAGAAAGTTTATGATGATGAAGAAAGAAGAGAAGACGTGGTTATGGCGCAGAGAGAGTTTCTTGGGATTTTTCAGCGATTCTTCTTAAGAGAATGAAGAATTATGGAAGGTTGAAGAAGAAAAGCAGTGAGAAGATGAGATTTTTTTTCTGTGATTCTTTTGAGAATTTGAAGAATGAAGGTGAGAGGAGCAGAGAGAAGTTTGAAGATTCTTCTGCAGAATTGATGAATGAAACTCTTCAGGTTAAAATTTATGTTTTATATATTCTGTTAGAACTGAAAATTAGTTAGAAAATGAATTCAATCTTGGCCTTTGGTTGCTGAATTTCTGTTATTTTTGGTTGGTTGGTGAGGTTATAGGCTAGTTGGTTTTGACAGTTGAGGGTTGTTTCTGTTTTTTTTATTTTTCTGTTACAATTGGTTGTGGAGTGGTTATATGGAAGTTAGAGAGTTTGTTATTCAATTACATGTTATATTGCTGTAAGTTGGTTAGAAGTTAGGGAAGTTAGAACAAGCTGGTAGTTAGAATTTTGGAATTCTGTTTGCAGGGCTGTTAGGAGTTATGATTCTGTTTTTTTTTTTGGAAGTTGGAAGGCTGCAGGTTGGTTGTTATGAAGCAGTTAGGAAAGTCAGTTGGAATTGGTTAGGAGGTTAGTTGGATTGTTAGTTGTTATGACAATTTTGTTAAATTCTGTTGAAGTTCTATGTGTTGGAATTTGGTTAAGGATGCAATGGATTAGTTAGTTAGTGAATTTATTTTTGTATTGATGCACTGCCTTATATTCTCTTTTGTCACAAAAATATCCCTGCTATAATACTTGAATTTAACTACATACTTCCTGCCAAATGATATTTCAGTAACCGCTATTTTCCAAGACAACTCAACCATCTGAAGACCATTTCCCACAAATCTTGCAGGAGCAGTGGTAATTGGAAGGCTATATGTAATTAAGATTCTTGGTAGAGAAGGTTCAATGTTGGTAAATATATGACTCTTATGCACTGCAACAAGTTAATTTGCATTCTTGAACTGGCTTTCATAGCAGGATTTTGAAGATCAACCATTCAGATATGCCCTTAAACGAATTCGGTAGCTTTTATTTATTTACTCAAATTCCACTGTTTTGGTCTCATTTCTTGATTGTAGGTTTGTTTTGGAGCAATTTGAAAGCATGGATAATTCAAAGATGGGTATTCTGATGAGACAAGGGTGCAATATGCTTCGAGCTTTGGTCATGAAGGATGAAGATTTAATCAAGAGGGTAAAAGTCAGAAGCATGAGAACTATGGATTTTAGTGTGGAAGAAACATGAAGTTATACATAATGTTTAGATTTTGTAGGATAATATCTTGTAATTCTTTCCTCGTAAAACCTCCTCTCAAATTGTATATTCCTTTTTTGAGTAACTATTGTATGAAACTTGGACTCTAATGGGGAAGCTTCACATATTTCTTTCTTTTATTTCAAATTGAACTCCGCTGACAGTTTGATAGTGTGGTGAAATTAGGGGTACTGAATATCTTGAGTTCAATATCAATTCTCTTAAGTGCTCAAAGTATCATCTTTTATATTTCCATGGAATTTAACTTTGAATACTCCTTCAATGGCGTAAATGCCAAGCGTAATATGATTCCATTATTCGTGTAATGCCAAACACTCCATAGTCAGAATGAAAGATACTTCCATAAGACTTTGTTAAAGCATGTTTCAGCATACTCCCTTTGTGATATATAGCAACATAAGTAGCCATGCTTAAGCTTGAAATAAAGACCTTCATAATCAATGAGGAGACACCGATCCCGAGTGACATGGTGTATTAGACCCACCACTACCTTGTGCCACCAATAATAAAACCCTAATTCAAACGTATGACTTCCTTGTAAGTACAGTCTTTATCCATAGCAACTTGAGTCATTCTTATTCCCTCCTTTGCATAAGGACTTGAAATCCGAGTAATGCCATAACCACTTTGGAGTCTAATTCTTATACCAAACCCACTTTGGAGCATAATGAACATTCAATTGAATTCAGAAAACTCAACCATGATGAAATGTAAACCCTGACAACTCGCAACCCTAATTTGTCTGCTTACTGAAGCAACTCAGAAAGGTGGCTTTCTCTTTTAATGAAAATAAGTATCTTAATAAAATAGGAAATTCCCAACGACCATGAACACAAATTCTAATCCCTCAAACCCTGATTGATAAAGAACCATGTTGATCCAAGCTTGTATAAAGGTGGGAACCTAAAAGCACGAAAAGACCAAAATTCCTCAATATCCTCAATCCCATGCCAAATTATTGACCAATGATGCATGACGTGCAAAATGACCTAACGGAGGGTATGCAGATGAAATGAAGAGTGTAAGATGAGTAAGCTAGATAAAAGCAAAGGGGTAGGACAAATTTGGGGTATTACAACTGCCCCTATTTAATCGTCTTAAACCTGAAAGTACGATTGGTGTGTGCCTTTCGGAAGTTCGAGGTAGAAGATGATTAAATATTAATGCCAAAAATTTGTCCTGAGAAAGTGTGAGTGTTTATTTATTTTTGTGATATCTGTTGGGGAAAAGAAATTTGTTTTTTCAATGAAGAGACAGAGATTGGACTTGTAACGTGGAGTGATGCCGATACAAGACAAATGGTTGGTATGAAAGGACAGCGGACGAGGTCTACAGGCGACCTACGATCCTAAGGTGAAACATGAGAGTGATTTGATAGAGAACCTACCCAAAGGGCAATCTCAGGTTCTGAGACAAAATATATGGAAAGAACCTAGCCAAGAGGCAATCTCAGGTTCGACGGTGACGGTATTAGGAAGAACCTAGCCACGAGGCAATCTCAGGTTCGAAGATGATTTATGGGAAGAACCTAGCCTACAGGCAATCTCAGGTTCTAAGAAGGTGATCTAAGGGAGGAACCTATCCAAGAGGCGATCTCAGGTTCGACGATGATCTATGGGAAGAACCTAGCCTACGGGCGATCTCAGGTTCGACGATGATCTATGGGAAGAACCTAGCCTACGGGCGATCTCAGGTTCTAAGATGATCTAAGGAAGAACCTAGCCCACGGGCGATCTCAGGTTCTAAGATGATCTAAGGAAGAACCTAGCCTACGGGCGATCTCAGGTTCGACGATGATCTACGGGAAGAACCTAGCCTACGGGCGATCTTAGGTTCTAAGATGATCTAAGGAAGAACCTAGCCTACAGGAGATCTCAGGTTCGATGGTGATCTATGGGAAGAACCTAGCCTATGGGCGATCTCAGGTTCGACGATGATCTATGGGAAGAACCTAGCCTACGGGCGATCTCGGGTTCGACGGTGATCTATGGGAAGAACCTATACTATGGGCGATCTCAGGTTCTAAGATGATCTAAGGAAGAACCTAGCCTACGGGCGATCTCAGGTTCGACGGTGATCTATGGGAAGAACCTAGCCTACGGGAGATCTCAGGTTCTAAGATGGAAACATGGGTTACGACATGACGATTATTTAGATAAGTGACATGGACGAGCATCAAGAAAGGTTAAACATGGACGAGTGTTTGAATCAATACGGACGAGTATTGAAAGAAGATACAGGCGAGTATCAAAGTTTAAACACGGACGAGTGTTTGAATCAATACGGACGAGTATTGAAAGAAGATACGGACGAGTATCAAAAGGTTAAACATAGACGAGTGTTTGAATCAATACGGACGAGTATTGAAAGAAGATACGGACGAGTATCAAAAGGCTAAACACGAACGAGTGTTTGATTCAATACGGACGAGTATTGAAAGAGGATACGAGCGAGTATCAAAGGTTAAACACGGACGAGTGTTTGAATCAATACGGACGAGTATTGAAAGAAGATACAGGCGAGTATCAAAAGGTTAAACACGGACGAATGTTTGAATCAATACAGATGAGTATTGAAAGAAGATACGGGAGAGTATCAAAGGTTAAACACGGACGAGTGTTTGAATCAATACGGACGAGTATTGAAAGAAGATACAGACGAGTATAAAAGGTTAAACACGGACGAGTGTTTGAATCAATACGGATGAGTATTGAAAGAAGATATTGACGAGTATCAAAAGGTCAAACACGGACGAGTGTTTGAATCAATACGGACGAGTATTGAAAGAAGATACAAGCGAGTATCAAAGGTTAAACACGGACGAGTGTTTGAATCAATACGGACGAGTATTGAAAGAAGATACGGACGAGTCGGATGAGTGTTTGAATAACTGACTCGGGTGGGTGTTTAGGAAACATGACACATACGATTGTTTAGGAAACTGACTACCAGACAAGAAATGGGTTTAAAATGACAAAGTGTATTGATTTTGTTTGGCATTGAAAAGGTGAAGGTCATTGACTAGGGATTTTGGGCATGATATCCTTTTGTAGGGATGTATTATTGTCCTTGAATAATTCAGGTCTTTTGTGTAAGGTACCTGATCTGGCTTATGCTTCATATGCATGTTTGAATTTCTTTTTCCGCAAAGATCCATTTTGATGGATAGGCTATGCGCTTTTGAGGATGAAATGTTATGCAGTGATAACTATATGCAATGCGAAGAAATAAACTTCATGGGGATAAGAGAAGGCTTACTGGGAACCATTTCTCATCACTGGGGATGTCAATATATATCGAAGTTGGAAGCCTGCGGCATCAAAGGTTGTTGGGGGTACTGATAAGAATTTTCCCTGGGGAGCCCCTGATACCAAAGATCGTTGATAACTCTGTTGAGAGTTGAATTGTTGACGAAGCAATTCTTCAGGTACGCTGCTGGATTCTGAATCGTACCGTTGGGAAGAGATAATCTGGTCAGACTTTCATACATCCTGAACTAAAGAAGAGGATGATAGAACTGAATATGCCAAATAATGGATGCTGAACACCATGTGGATCTCTTTGAATACATGCCCCAAGTTTACGCACATTGGGGAATTATCTCTTGAATCACTTGGGGATAAGAGATGGGCGTGGACACTTACGAGTTCCCTGGTTGAGTTCTGCGAATACCCTGTTTTAGCTTTGCGAATGCCCCGGTTTAGCTCTGCGAATGCCCCGGTTTGGTTCCATTGGGGATTTTCTTGATTAGCTTCACTGGGGATGCACTTGTGCATGTCGAGTCAAACGACGACTCCGAATTTTATGAACTCACTTGGGGAATTATACTTGAAGTTGTCTGTAGAAGGTGAAGGCAGCTTTGTGTGCTGGCTAATGTCAGGGTGATTGTTATGATGCTTTTAGTTGATTGTAGTGGTCTCGTGCAACATAATTAGCTTTAGCAACTTTGCAAGTATGGATGAGGAATGCCCCTGCCTGAAGGGTCTCTAAGAAGATCTATGTTGAATAGAAGACCATAATATTTGTGCCACAATATGATATGAGGTGGCCTACCCCTATGTCTTGAGTCACGAAATAAACTTCTCTTGATTACAACTTTCTTGGAGAGATTTGTTGAATCTCGATGTAATTGCCCCAGGTTGAATGAATTATGAATAGATCTCTCGATGTGATAGCCTCTGATTGATCGAGCTTGAAGAGATTTATCGACGTGATAACCTCTGATTGGTCGAGCTTAGGGAGTTTAATCGACGTGATAACCTCTGATTGTTAACTTTGAGGGAATGCCCCAGATTTGGCTGAGCTTGGAGAGATTGATTCTCGACTTGATTGCCCCAGATTGTCGGAATCTACTGACTTCATCCTTGAAGGGTACTCAGACTGTGACAAACCAAGATACTGTCTCTTGACAAAAATTTAACATGCCCCTGGATAAGTCATTTCTCTTGTGGCAGTTGACTCTTGCTTCAACATGGTATTCAAGCCTCTCTTCTCTGATAAGATTGAGCTCTTTATTGATTGTTCATTGTGTAAACTTACTTGATGTTGATCAGTTGTTTTGTATGCAGAAGAATGCTTATTATGAGAATGATAATTTTAATGCAACACATATGTAAGTCTTCAAGTTTGAAAAACTTTGAATGAAATGATGTCATAGCTTTGTCGTGAACGAGTCACTAGCTAGAGAGAGAGAGATTTGTAAATTCCCTTTTTTATGAAAGATAATGCAAGCATATGATGCCAACACAGATATTCAAACGTACCTCTTAGGAGTCAGTTAAACGCTATCTCGTTGTAGCATGCTTTTGAATTGACCCATGCTTCAGTTAGGACTTTTATGGTTTATAACGTGGCCTAGTTCATGGTTTTAGAAAAAAGGATATAAGGCTCAAAATTATTTGGTGCCCACCCATTCTCCATGATGTTCAACATTCCTACGTTCAGTTTACCTGGTACAAGCATTCATCTCT